ATAAGGTCAACAGCATTTGGCCCTTAAAAGTTCTACTTAAAGCTTTGCCATGTTTGTTTTCTTTTGCTTATTTCTCAGTTACTTTTGGAAGGCTTGTTTACACTATTGCCTTTAATGTATTGAACATATTTTCTCTGCTTCAATTACTTCTGATTTTTGCTTGAAGGTAGCTCTCCTATCCTCCACTTAAACATGTTGGGAATGATAACATAGCAGGAAGATTATTAGTTTCTACTCTACCTTTAACATCTTTGTTTTAATATAAATGTAGTAGTGAGTGCCAGACTGACAGCTTTGGAAACGGAAGTACTTTGTCCACAGAACAGGTATAGCCTGTGTAGAGGTATGGTAGGCTTTCACATTCTGACCTAGCAATGTTCTGTGTCTCAATCTAGGAAACCATCTACATGGGTGAGACTCCTTCAAATCTTTGCTTTTCTTCTAACTCTAACAAGAGTGCCCATTAACAACAACTATGGTGGTACTTTTTGTAATGTGGATACTTTTCTACTAGAAATTGTACGGAGACCTCCTTTCTCATATGTCCCAACCAGTCATCTAAGGGGCATCAGACACAATGACTAGGGCCCTACAAATTCACGACCATGAAAAATATGTCACAGACCATGAAATCTGGTCTCCCTCTCATGAAAACTGTATATTATAGGGTAAAAGCACACAAAAGACCAGATTTCACGGAGGAGACCAGCGTTTCTCAAATTGAGAGTCCTGACCCAAAAGGGGATTGTGGGGGGTCACAAGGTTATTTTAGGGGTATTGCAATATTGCCACCCTTACTTCTGCACTGCCTTCAGAGTTGGGAGGCCAGAGAGTGAGGGCTGTTGGCTGGGCACCCAGCTCTGAAAGCAGCACCCTGCCAGCAGCAGTGCAGAAGTAAGGGTGGCAATACCATGCCATGCCTCCTTACTTCTGTGCTGCTGCTGGCGGTGGTTCTGCCTTGTAGAGCTGGGATCCCGGCCAGCAGCTGCCACTCTCCAGCTGCCCAGCTCTGAAGGCAGTGCTGTGCCGAGAAGCAACGCAGAAGTAAGGATAGCAGTACCGCAACCCTTCCTACAATAAGCTTGTGACCCTGCCCCCCAACATCTCCTTTTTGGGTCAGGACCCCTACAATTACAACACCGTGAAATTTCAGATTTAAATAGCTGAAATAATGGAATGTATTATTTTTAAAATCCTATGACCGTGAAATTGACCATGAATTTGGTAGGGTCCTACCAATGACCTAGAAGTGAACATCTACATAGTCCATTATAGGCCTCTGAGACATCCAGTCCCCTTAACCATAATATGTTAATGTAAAAAATCACTGTTCAGAGATGTGTTAAGCAGAGATTGAGAGAAATGTGATCTGACAAACAAAATAGATTAATACAAGAGCTTTAAAGGGACGAAAACTCAAAGCACTGTAGCATGGCTATTTATATATATTAAGAACATCATTCTTAATGGTTATTGCTTCTTTGCATATTTCTAGTGTTCAGTCTTCAGACAAAATACTTTAACGTCAGCACTATTAGTTCTTCAAATAGTTTTTCAAGAACTATTAGTTCTTCAAGTCTATGAAGAACATATACACATTCTTCAAACGCGTATAGGCCCTGATTCAGCACAGTCACACCAGTTGTAGATTGGTGTCACTCCATTAGAAACTGGAGTAATCAGAGTTCAATGATTTATGTACGTATTTAGCTTTCCAATAAAAAACACCAAAAAGTTGCATGGCTTTAAAACTTTCACTGCCCAAATACCCCAAAGAAGAGTACTCAAATTGACAAATTTGTGTATTTTACATATGCATGCTGGTGAAAAATACATTTGAACACACTTTTCAAAGACAGGCTATAATTCCATCTCATAATTTTATTATGCTATATTTAGAGAGTTATCCTAATTCTTTTTTTCTGTTAAAGCAAATATGTTGAGCTTGAATCTACTGTTTATCTGGTGTAAATCAGGAGTGGCTCCATAGTGGAATTGCAACCAATGTGAAATCATAAGACCAAGAAGAATCAGACTTTTGTGTCCACTTGCTAATCTAACAATGATTCAGGATTGAACATGTTTCTTTGTTGGTATTCAACCTTTCAAATGTTATACACAGGCAAAAGTACTAATACAAATACAGTGCTATTGATTTAACAAAAGCATGATTTTTTTCAATGTTCTTTGTACTTGGTGGGATACAATATCTCAAGTTAACCATATGTTATTCCATTAATGACTGTCAAAGAATGTGGTTTTATTGCAAATGTATCCTTTTCACTCTTTGACATAATGTAATGCAACAGCTGTTTGTGACACAGAAAAGTTTTAGAAATACACTAGGCTACAGTAACTGCGCTTTTATTTGCTTCTTGGTGCAGGGGCCAGCAATACGGTAAGGCAATGTAAAGTATCACTGTCACTTAACATAAGTAACATAACAGGAACTGCCAAGAGATGTGCTGGAAACCTGAAAACTTAACATCTGAACTTATATAAGTCATATTTCGTTATGCTGAATGAATGATCTTTCAGGTCCCTTGATACTGTATTTAATATCAGACAGATTCAGAAACTGGTTAGCTTGGAACTAAGTGTGTAATCTACATGGATACCCCATGAGTATACATTTCCCCACCCTTCCATTTTTAACCGTGAGATTCTAAATTCAAGCAAATACCAGACTCATTTTATCCATCCCTAGTGCTATCTACTTGAATCCTATTTTGCCTATATACTGTACAAAGCAGACCCAACAATGAAACCAGACTCCTTTTTTATTACTCTTGGTGTCAATAGGTTTCTTCTCTGCACTGTATTTTTTATTAAAAGCTATAACTTTCATAGCCCCCTGTGCTGCAAAGCTCCATAAAGGCATGGAAAACCATGGCTTGAGTCTGAATAAAAATAAAGGAATTTATTGTAAACATTTTAAAATGAACCATTTTGCTGTATCACTCCTTGGGGAACCATTCTGCCATGGCAGCCCCATGTGAACTTGCCTCCTCCCTCCTTCCATAGGCCTTTTGACCCTTGTTTCTGCCATTGTGGTTTTGAAAAAATGTGTTCCAATTTCTGATGGGAACATAAAGCTGCACAGCCATGGTCTTCGCAGTTCAACAGTTGCAAATTTTGCCACCTCCCCAATAGCAGGCATCTACCCGGAAGAAGTCTTAAATTCTGCAGATCTCAGGGCACAGGTTCAGAGAATGGAGCTGGAGGAGGCCCAGTGATTCCACATAGCCATATAGAAGATCATGTATAACAGAAAAAAAGGCAAAGGCTTGTTTCCTTCTCTAGCGGACACTGGTGCTGAAAAGAAATCTTATGTACCGTTAGTCATTTCTTTAGCTGTGCAATGTTGGTAATTCTAGTGGGATCCCAGGACATGTGCAGAATCAAGCCTGGCTCTCCCCTACAGATAGAATGTTAGGCCTCAGCAATACCAACCACTGAGAGGGCATATTTCCCACTAATGTAACATCCGCTTGATGCACAAGCTCACCAAAGAATAGTCCTTCAGAGTTGAAGTCTTAGTTGTAGTCTTCAAGCTATCTGTGGAACTGATCCATGATACCTCAGAGAGCCTTTCACTGCATAACAACCAATGTTCTTCAGGTCTGTGGAGCTTGTGAGAGCAGGAGATGTTGAACTTTCTATGCAGTAAGGCCAAGGTTTTGGAGCTAATCCCAGAGGTGATTAAAATAGCCACAAATCTCAGTGCCTTCAGAAAAGAGTGTAAAGTAGAGGGAGAGAAGGAAACTTCTTTTGAAATGTAGTCTACTTCCCTCAAGGAAGTAGGGAGAAAAATGTGCCAATTGGTCTATTATTTTAGTTATGCCCTGGAAGATGCTCCAATATTACAGCAGTGAGTGCCATTATAGGATCCTACCTAGATCAGTGGGAGAGAACCGGGTAAGGATAGGATCTGCATCTACCTGCCAAGTTCTTTCAGCTCCTGAACTGACCAAGAAAAGATTTGCTCAGCCCTTGTCATTAGTCCAACTCACTGAGGTGTGAGGCTCCTATCCTAAATTCTAGGGGTTTACCTGCACATGGAAACTCCCTCTGTTGGGCAAGGTGCTCTCTTGGCCCTGAATATAATAGGCAGGGCTTGACCGTAGCCAGCTCAATCTTCCAACTGGGTCCCGTCTTTAAAAGGTGTGGGGAAGGGCGTGGGTGAGAAGAACATAGGAAAGGTCATGCCTGACCAGAGCACAGCTCTATCTAGTTCAGTCTCTTGTTTTGGGCAGCAGCCAGTAATAAAAGCCTCAGCTGTTGCAAGGACCACTGCAGTGGCCAGTTACAGAATAACTTGCCTCTAGGGTAAAGTTTCTTCATAACGCTATCATTTAGAGGTTATCCTGCTGCAGGAGGGTTTATAGCCTTTCTTGGGGGGATTGGAGGGAGGGAGGCAGCAGCAAAGGTGTGGGGTTTGAAGGGAGCGGGAGAGCAGTAAGGGCCTCTATGGGGATACAATGTGGGAGGCAGCACTGAGAGGAGGGTGAGCAGGAGCACATTGTGGGAAGGAAGGAAGCTGGAGGGATACAGCAGCGATGTGGGGGGTGAGAGGTAGTAGTAGTAAAGGTGGGTGGAGGATAGGACCCCTGGGCGAAGGAGGGTGAGAGGAAGCAAGCAGTGGCCAGCTGAGGGGTGTACACAGGAGAGGAGGCGCTAGTGGGCGAGAAGCAGGTGTGTGTGTGGTGGGGGGTGAGTTTGGGGGGAAGCAGCATAGGAGGAGGGAATGGGAGGAGACAGCAGCGAGGAGGGGCTGTGGGAGGACGCAACAGGGCTGGGGGGAGGGAGGGGACGGGCAGTGGCTGGGGTGCAGGATCCTGGCCGGGCTGGGGAGAGCGAGGCTGGGGGGGGGGGCGTGTAAACCCTCTTCTCCCAGCGCAGCCTCGGGCTAAAGGCGCGCGAAGAGGCGGGCGCAGCCTGCCCGTTAGAGCAACGGCAGCCGCTCGAGCTCTGACGCGGATCTTGTGGGGGCGGGAGGGGCTGGCGGCGACAGCTGCTGAGCATTGGGGCTTCTCCCGTTGACTCAGCCCTGGCAGGAGGCTGCTGTCGCTGCCGCCCGTGCACCTCCTGCGCCGGAGAGCTGGCTCTGGGCACTGCTCCCTGCTGCTTTGCCCGCTCCTCCCGGGCTCTGCCGGGCGCAGGGTCCCGCAGCCCGCCTGCCAAGGGAAGCGCGCTGCACCGTACATGGTGGTTTCCTATCGATGTGGTTTTGCTGCTCCCTGTGAACCGCCCGCCAACGTCTGTCGGTGTCCAGCCGCGGTGCCCCCCGAGGGCGTTACGAGAAGGCGGGGGGGGGACAGGTTGGCGAGCTTGGCGGGAGTAGCCACATGCATCTCCTCGTCTGCAATGACTGCACCTGCGAGTGAATGAAGCTGCTGCACTGAGGAGGGCCGAGAAAGACACGCAGCGGCTCCAGGGGTCCTGATCATCTTGCGGGTCTCAGCCTCCCCCCGCCTTAACCTCCCAAACCTGCTCCATGCGGGAGCCGAAGAGGATCTCCCCGCATGCCCTTGTGGAGGCCCACTTCTGCACCCCCCACTGACAGGTACTGTGGGGCGGGGGCAGCCTGGCCCCTCTGTGTGCGTGTGTCTCCTCTCGCCTTCTCTTCCCAGGGATTTATTGGATGAAGATTTTTATTCTTTTTTTTTTTTTTTTTTTTTTTGGTTGGTTGCTGGTCGGTCTGTGGGGTGGGAAAGGAGAGAGACTTCAGCTGACACGGTGCCTGTGCTACAGAGCTTCCCTCGCGTTACTCTCTGCCTCGTGGGGAAATATCCAGCTGTTCATCTGAAGGGCATTTACATCATGGTTTAGCGAGGGATCTCCCACGAAAAAACTCCCCCTCCCCTTTTCTCTAGCTCCTTCCCCCCCTCCCCAAACTACGGACCCAATACTTTAGGAATAACCATTCCAACTGGTTATCTCCGGGCAGCGGAGACTGATGGACAGTTACTCCACTCTGCAATGTGAGTATGTGCCTGCTGCCTGTGAGGAAGGGGCAGCTGCTGCTCCCCTTGTAGAGGCGTGTGTGGGGGTGTACCAGCGAAATGCAAGCAGCAGCGCACAACGCTCTAGTCTCCTGCATGGGCAGCGGTGAACCTGGAGGGAGCAGCTCCTTGTGGCTTCGCTGCTCGCTGGATGTGCTGCTGCCGGTGGCGGGGATGGTGGGATGGAAGGGAAGCGGTGTCCTTGGGTGTGATGGTACCTACCAGATTAAATCGTGTTAGGAGAGCAGCTACTGCAAAGAAGGATGGCTGTGAATACCTCTGCTGTGCACCCCCAGTAACGCTTTACCCCTCCCCCCAAAGCCCCATGTGCAGAGGATAGGGGGAGGATGGAAGGGACGATCCTGCTCCCGAGCGGGGTTGCCCCTTTTGCGCTCAGATATGGAAAGGAAATGCTGGGCAGTCTCTTGCGGGGGAGGCGGCGGTGGTGGTGGTGGTGGCGGCGGGGGGAGTCAATCGGTAATGGAAGCTCTTCCCTGGCTGCAGTCACCACTGACACTTGTGGAGAGGGAAATTTGCTGCCGCTTTCCATGCCTCTTTTCTTAAGATCCTGCTTGATCGTGACTGTGGGGAGGCCAGGCAGATTCATTAAGCACATTCTTGTTTGGAGAAGGAAAATGAGTATATGTATGTATGTGTATATATATATATATATTTCAAGGCATAAAATGTCCATTTTCGGTGATTCCAAACTGCCTTTGTGTTCCATGTGCAGAAGCTGATGAGCTCTCTGTTCTGAAATTCCACTGCTGCTTTCCTCTGTCTAGGGGTGGAAACAGAAGGAAGGGCATTTATTTTAGTACTACACCAGAAGACTAGGGTGGGAGGGAGGGAAAGGCAAAAACGATGGCACAGTAAGGTGGGTATTTTTTTAATAAGGAAATTGCCTTACAGTAGTGATCAAATATGTGATGTCAGGAACCTCAAGGAGTCTGAAGTGCTATTTCAAAGACAGCCCTTTTTTGTAGTTGCTGTGTTGTGAAAATGTGGGGTTTTTTTTAAATATAAAATTGTTTACCACATTGCTTCATTGCGACCAAGTCAAGATATTGGAAATCTTTATAATCCAACTTGCATCTCACCTCATCCCACCAATTAAATTATTTTCTGAATCTAGAGCAACATGATTCTTGATTCAGGCACGTCTTCTTTAGGAACATCAGTAAAGAGATTGATATATAATTCAACTTCACTTCCTTTTTTCCTTCCTAATCATCATTCCAACGTTATGCCCACAGTGTGCTTGGGGTTGTTCAAGATTTAGATAAAGATATTGGGGGGGGGGGAGCTGATCTAGGGTTAACTTACATCAGTGTAAATTCACTGTCCGTTACACCGTGGAATGCATTTGGCTCAGTGAATACTGTAACATCAGGGATGAATTTGGCCCATGAGTTACTCTTAACATACACCTGTGTAAATAAGATCAGAATAAATCCCTGAGGGGTTTATAAGATCTCTGTAGGCCATAACAATTGGTTCAGTATTTCCAGTGTTCTTACTAAGGAATGGACGGTAAAGGGCTATCAAAGCCAACTTTCTGGACAGTTAAATGCTTTACTGGGTATATTAAAACGAAAGTAAAACACTTGATACCTCAGTCAGGGAAGACATTAGAAGTTATTTTGTTTCTGACCAAGCCTATGAATAGACAGTGTACGTATCCTTTTCTCCCCCAGAGTGCATTTAAAAAGGGTACGTTTATAGGGTAAAATGTATTTTTGCAGAGATGGTGTATTTTCATTGTCACCACCTTCTGACCCTCTAAAATAAGATACACCCAATATAATGCGACCCGATATAACACAAATTCAGATATAACGCTGTAAAGCAGCTCTTCGGGGGCACGGGGCTGTGCGCTCTGGCGGATCAAAGCAAATTCGATATAACGTGGTTTCACCTATAACACGGTAAGATTTTTTTGGCTCCCGAGGACAGCGTTATATCAGGGTAGAGGTGTATTAAGCTTAGCAATCCTCCTGGAAAGGTCTGTGCCCTTTCTAATCTTCATATCTTAACTTCTGCTGAACTTCTAATGATTAGAAACAAATACTGATGCAGTCATTTTGAAATACTAATATTTCCATCTTTCCAGAAAGACAGGCTTAATTTATTCCCTGTATGGCTTGACTTCCCTCACCTCTATTCTAAAGCAATGGTACTTTTAAACAGTAACCAATTTGGGGAAGCTTGGTGTGTTAGGGATATACATTCACTGAAACACTTGGTTTCTTAAAACTCCAAGAAGTTGAGAATAAGTATGCACCAGGTCCTAGTCCTATTAAAATCAGTAGCAAAACTCCACTGATTTCAGTGGGAGCAGGATGGGGGCCTACATGCTGCTTCAATGGGCCTGGTTCTTCTCCCTCTAATACTGGCATAGCACCATTGGCTTCAATGGGGGGTGGGGGAGTCCTATTTTACCCTGGGGCAAGTGAAAGCAGAATCAGGATTTTGTTGTATTTTAAGGAGTAGTCAGGTTGAATTGGGGGTTTTTTCTGTGAGGCAGGGCTAGTGAAAGGTTATAACAACAGTGAAAGTATTATTAAAAGTTCCCGGAGGTTGGGGAGATAGGTGATATTTTTATCTTGGAAATTTTAACATGCCTGTTCCCATGGCAAAATGCTTAATTCTCTTATCCCATAACTTTCAGCTAAAAAGCTTTATTCCTATTTTTATTTATCCCAGTTTTATTCCTATTTTTAATCTGAGCTGTTCTGGATAGTTTTAATGTGAGGAAGACTGTAATTTGAACTATATAAATTGCATTTTAACACTAACATTAAATGATCAGACAAGGAAAGTAACTTGCAAAGGCTAGCTATGTGAGTGTTGGTTTTATGCACCTATTCATCTGGAATTCAACAAGACACGTATACTTACCATGGCAACCCCTACATCAAATGTTATTGAACATATCCTGTATCAGAAATAGCAGCACCTTCTTAAAGAAATACAAACACTAACCTATTAAATTGATTTCAGTACATATATCAATAAATAAGGGAATAAAGTGTGTTGAAAAACTGATCTATTTTCTCAAATTTTAAGCTTAATTTTCTTATAAATAAATTTTGGTTTCACACTATTTTTTATTTTCTTTTGAACAAAAGGAAAGGGAAAAGTAGGGTAATTTTTAGGGCTGTCACACAATTAAAAAAATTAATCACATGATTAATTGCACTGTTAATAATAGAATACCATTTATTTAAATACTTTTGGATGTTTTCTGCATTTTCAAATATATTGATTTCAATTACAACACAGAAGACAAAGTGTACAGTGCTCACTTTATATTTATTTTTGATTACAAGTATTTGCACTGTAAAAAAAACAAAAGAAATAGTATTTTTCAGTTCACCTAATACAAGTACTGTAGTGCAATCTCTTTATCATGAAAGTGCAACTTAC